ATAAATGTCATTAACAAAGGAATGATCCATTTCAGAATAGGGGTGTTGGTTAAGACATAGACATTACACACCCAGTTAATCCTACTCATATGGTAATTTCTGGTGTTCATAGCATAATTAGCGAAGTACAGTATCAGTTATTTCTTCACTGTATTAACTAGGCTAATTATTTATTAGGTTGTATATAATTTACCATAGAGCATCATCATTATTTATTTAAGTACAGTAAATACAATTTAATATTTTTTATTATTTTTATTTACTGTATTTATTTACGTAAATGTATTAGGCCTAAGTATTATAGTACATTTAATAACATTAATAATACTACCTAATGATAAAATAAGTTCACTTAGTTTTTTATTACACCTAGGCCTAATTTATTAGGTTGCATTCATTACTAAATTCACTCATCATAGAGCATACTAATTTCTGTTGTATTTTTTTTAACTAGGCTATTTATTTATTAGGTTGTATTTATCCGTATTTATTTTACTAATACTAAATTTACCATTAAGCATCATCATTTCTGTTTATTGTATTTCTTTTAAGTATCATAGTACATCAATATATACAATCTGGTTAGGTTGTATTTATTTCAGTACAGTAAATACAATCTTATAATACCTGTATTTATTTTTCACGTAAGTGTAGTAAGTATTATAGTACATTTAATAACAATAATAATACAACCTAATAATGAAAATAAGTTCACTTATTTTTTTATTGTATTAAGTAGGCCTAATTTATTGAAATGCACGCCATCTTCTCGGGATTCAATATTTCCGACATTAATTATGTCATCATCAGGAATGATGGGCCTGATATATTAGGTTTTATTACTAAATTCACTCATGGAGCATTCTAATTTCTATTGTATTTCTTTAAGTATCACAAATTTAGTTAAATATATACAACTTGGTATATTATTTAAGTAAATACAATCTAAAAATTAGGCCTATTAAGGACATAGTTTATTAAAAAGGGTTTTCCATCGGCTTGCAGCATTAGATAAGACAAAAAATATCAATTAACGTCTTCGTGGTAACGTTAATTCGAAACCCATACTACTGCTAGGCGTATACTTAGTACATGTATGTTCATGGAGGTATAGTATGTTGCTCTATTAAACACGCGATCGAATCGACGTCAATTCAACGCTCATGGGGAAACCCCGAATTGGGTCGCATGAACCACGGAGGTTTGTTGTTCGTAAATAGGTGTTAAATTAAATTATAATTACTGTTTGTTAAAACGTAATTTAAGTTAGTATGTATTTCAATCTTCAATATTACAATATCTTTATATTAAAACATCCATAGCACTTAGTACAGTGGAGTGGATCACGTGCTCACTACATAGAACAGCATGGTCTTTCTCTCTAATCAACGGTCAATGTTGTTTAGGTTAGTGCCGACGTGGAAAAATATCTTTGAATATATAATTAACAATACTGGTATTTGTTTTGACTTACTTTATTTGTGATGATTAAATATTTACAAAAAAAAACACGCATTATTATTCTATGCAAGGTTGATTACTCCTTGCTCCCATTCTCCGTAGTGGATCACGTGGTCTATGTACAGCGTGGTCTTCCTCCTCGATGTTCTTTGCGCTCGACCCGACTAAAACAGTTTGGAGGTTTGTGTTGTTATGAATTTAAATAAGAATTGCTGAATACAGAATACTACAGGCCAAACATTGTAGTAAAAAGAAACAAAATAAATGAATAAATAAATAAATAAATTCTGCTCTATAGTCACCTGGTTGGTGACCCCTCTCTCTTTGTCTGGAGTAGTACTACGTACTTTTAATTGCCAATTTCAATTTGTAAGAGTGAGGACTTTATGCTTTTTTTTTTTTTTGATTAAGTTAATAGTTTAATTCTTTGTTTATAATTTTGTTTGTTCTTTTATAAAGTTGTACAATGTGGATGCATCACCTTTGTGTGTGCCAACGATATAAAGGTAGGCCCCTACTGTAATTTCCCAATCAATACTTACTTACTTATGAAGACGTGGGTAATGTATTTGAATGTAATTAAAATTGTATTCACTTCGTGATAATTGAATATCTAGGCCTAGAAAAATATCTTTTTGATTTCGTGGTTAGTGGTTGTATTTAGCATAGTTCTATGTTGAGGCGTAGGCCTGGATAAGTTGTCAAGTGTGGAACTTCGTGGTTAAATAAAATTCGTGAGGAACGAAATCTTGAATTCCCCATCATGTGCGTTGATTTGCCGTCAATTCTATCCGTTCAATAATGAGTAGAAATTCCTTTGTTTTCACAAATATCTACTTGAACAAGCTTGTATTTTAATTTTAACAATACTATTTGATCGTCGCATTTGGCCGGACCAATAAAAAGTGCTTCCGACGCGCCTGGGCCGGCGCGAAGGTGAAGTGGGGGGGGGGGAGTGTTCGATGGTCAGGTGAGGGGCGCTAATTCGCAAAATAAGTTGATTTTAAGGAAATTTTTAACTGCTTGACCGTGATATTTTGGGGGCGACAGTGGTGGTAATTTTATGAGGGGCATGCGCCCCTCCCTCTACGAATACCACTAGATACGCCTCTGAGTAACACCAACATCCATATCAAATAAATGATTGTTCATGAAAATAGAGAATATCATATCGGAAGTGACCACAATGTTTTGTTCATAACGTTTAAACCATCTTTTAAATTTAAGGCATGATTAATCAAAAGTAAATATAAAAAAACAATCTGGGATATTAAAAGAGAACACAATTGGTATACTTTCCAAACTGAAATTGAAGGTGTCTTTGAGAATTAGAAACCAGAAAATTACAATGCTCCAACTTCTATGTGGTAATCTTGGAAAGATCCTTGGTAAAATGAGGAAAACAGTTTCAGTGATTTGGAAATCTGAGTTAAAGACGTCATTTCAGCAATAACCTTTGTAAAAACAAGTCACCCGGGATCGACACTATCACAAATGAATTTCAGAAAACCGAAATTAATGGTATATATAATTCACTGCACAGATTATTTACTTGTATCATTGAATTCTCATCAGTGCCAGATGAATGGAACACAGGCCTGATTATTCCCATCTTTAAGAAAGGAGATAGAAATTATCTTGAAAACTATGGTAGGTCTATTACCCTTACCTCATGTATTGCTAAAATATTTAATAAAATCATCTCAAGTTCAATAACATTTGTGAATGAAAAATTATCTTACGGAAATCCATCGTGGTTTCAGAAAAGATTACCGCTAAAGGTTACTTTTAATAATATTCAAAAGGATTTTTTTAGGTTACTGATTGTGTAAAACAAAGATGTGTCTTATATCCCATATAGTTTTCAATATACATGAACGACCTTCCTAAAATGATAAAAAGTAGCAGCTTGGGCATTTCACATCGGCTGTCTATTTTGGACAGACAACGTTGACCTATTGGCAAACGACAGTGCTTAACTTTGCAGAAAAATGTAGTACCAAGTTTAAACTTGAGTTAAATCAGGAAAAATCCAAAGTTCTAGTTATTGGTATAAGGATAAACAAGCAAAAAATATGGAAGTTTGGAACTTGATAATCAATGAGGCCGAAAACTATTCATATTTAGGATGTGTTATATCTACAAATTTAAACATAAACATATCGAAAATGTTATAAAGAAAGGTCATACGCTGATTGGCTATATTCAATAATTAATAACAAAAACTATTATAAAAGATTATACTATGGTGATGTTTTATGGGAATCACTTGCCATACTATATATATACTATGCATGTGCAGTATTGCTTGGTGCTGAATCTGATATCTTAAAGATCTATTGTCCCTTGCTAATGTCAAAAAATCATTAAAAAATAATAATTTTGAAATAAACTTGCTCATATTGCAATAGCATACAAATTATTAACTTGTGCATAAAAATTATTGAATTTAAAAAATGTGTACCCTGATTTTCAAACCAAAAGCATTATAATAAAAACTTAATAAAACACTTCCAGTGACTGGAAGTGTTTCTATCATTTTCGCTGTAAACTGATGGGTAGACATTTTTTTAAATACACTAATTTCTATGTTCAAGTTGATAACTTTTATTTTTTTTAATTGTATGATTGTTTTGGTATTTAGCATGGGACAATACATCTTTAAGCATAGAAAGTCTTCAGATACAGATGTCAAGAATTATATTAAGGGCACCTCGCAACACACCAAATGAACTTGGCTAGAATAGTCTAGAAAATATACAAGATTGCCATAGATTGAAATATTTTAACCGGTTTAAATGCATGTCTGTCCAAAATAGGGTGAATTTTACACAAAATTCTCGACTAGAGTTATATAAATTCATTTATACAATACTTAATTCGTGCAGTTAACGAAAGCCAGATTCATCAAGTACATATTTATCTATGCATAAACCTTAATTGCTTTAATAAAGTCAATCATAGTTAGAAGTTACACGTTTATGTATATGCATATTTATATTTACATTCTGTTTGTATCAATATTTTCATTATTCCTTGTTAATTTTGTATGTGCGATTATGTCTGTAAGTCTTGACTCCCCAATGTCAAGACTTCTAGATACGCCTCTGCAGTAAGCCTGGCGCTGCCAAATATATCAGATTTAGTAGTTTTGTGTACAAGCCTGTATATTATCTATATCAACTTGACTTACCAACTGGACGTGGATGACATAATTAATGTCGAAATATTTAATCCCAACACGACGGCGTGCATTTCAATACTTGGAATACGTATTATACTTTATTATTTGACTTACCAAGTTCTCCACAAATTAAACTGAAAGCCACATAGATGTAAGTGAAGCGTAACATGGTTAATAGAAGGCAGAGATGTTGGTTTCAGAATGGCACAATGTCAGAGAAGACGAATGTAATAGGAGAACTGGACTCGATTTTTGAGCCGATCTGTCTGACTTGAAAAGGAAGCCTATAGCTTGATGGCCGTGAAGTCACCGGTCCGATAACTTTTTGCTGTTATATGCTCAGTATTTTCAATTTCATTAGTTATTGTTGAGCGCGCTAATCGTTGTGGCAGCGAGCGTCAGTCATATCAGTTGTTTGTGCAGAGCCAATAATCATCAATCATTTGTTGTTTTTTCCCTACATATTATAAGTAGACTCTAAAATGGATTAAATAAGCCTTTGAAGTCATTGCAATGTGATATTTTTGGGGAATAGTAAGAAGCCCTGTAAATTTTGTTCTATAATTTTGTGTTTAGTACTATTAAAGCATTTGAACTAAAAACTCATTTTTATTGATATGAGTTATATATAACATTAAACTACAACTGTACATTGCATTATTGAAAATTCAATCCTCAATGTTTAGGTGCTTAATTTTAGAAATCATTGAGGTTTAAAAAAAATGTTATTAAGGAGTTGTTTTTTTTAATCATTTCTAGTGCAAGAGATATGTATATTTAATTAAAACAGTCGACTTTTATATCGTTCCAAAGACTAACTGCATCATAGAAATTATTTTTGTATCGGTTTTAAATTAATTAAGCCCTATTAGTATAAAACTTATAACTTTGTAGTTTCAGCCTTTACTTTCATCTGTAAACATGTTATTATATATAGTAACTGTAAAGTTAATGAATTTAATCAAAGGTTTACAAAATGGATATTTTTTGTCATTTTAACTTTATAATTCATTATCACCATCATCATGGTTATAGCTTGTTGATTTTCGCATGCGAGGTTTAGACCATGGGAAGTCTGTAATTATGGCTATCCTATGATGTGAGACCAGTTGGTGTAATCAGCAGCTCTTTCGAATTGAGATTGAGATATAATTTATTATCTATAAATTCATACATCCATAGGCCTACACACATGCATACACGCCATACACACATACCTGTGTGCATACACACACATTATGATACCATATAAGATGTATAGCCCTGGTACTCAATCCCCGGCCCGCCAACAATTTCAATCCGGCCCGTGGCGACATTGCTAAAAAATAAATCATTTTACCGTCCGATATTTAAATCTTAAGAGAAAAGTGTTTCTGTTAAGAGAAATACGGCCACATACTTTGGCATTCAAGAGTTGTTTTTTTTTTCTGAGCGTCTGTCTCTTATACACATCTTGTGTACCCTGATTTTTAAACCAAAAGCATTATAATAAAAACTTAATAAAACACTTCCAGTGACTGGAAGTGTTTCTATCATTTTCGCTGTAAACTGATGGGTAGACATTTTTTTAAATACACTAATTTCTATGTTCAAGTTGATAACTTTTATTTTTTTTAATTGTATGATTGTTTTGGTATTTAGCATGGGACAATACATCTTTAAGCATAGAAAGTCTTCAGATACAGATGTCAAGAATTATATTAAGGGCACCTCGCAACACACCAAATGAACTTGGCTAGAATAGTCTAGAAAATATACAAGATTGCCATAGATTGAAATATTTTAACCGGTTTAAATGCATGTCTGTCCAAAATAGGGTGAATTTTACACAAAATTCTCGACTAGAGTTATATAAATTCATTTATACAATACTTAATTCGTGCAGTTAACGAAAGCCAGATTCATCAAGTACATATTTATCTATGCATAAACCTTAATTGCTTTAATAAAGTCAATCATAGTTAGAAGTTACACGTTTATGTATATGCATATTTATATTTACATTCTGTTTGTATCAATATTTTCATTATTCCTTGTTAATTTTGTATGGGCGATTATGTCTGTAAGTCTTGACTCCCCAATGTCAAGACTTCTAGATACGCCTCTGCAGTAAGCCTGGCGCTGCCAAATATATCAGATTTAGTAGTTTTGTGTACAAGCCTGTATATTATCTATATCATTGATATATATATATATATATATATATATATATATATATATCCCGCCAGATTCGATTATCAATTATCACTAAGTAAGTCGTGGAGGCTCGGGTTCCAGTTGGCTCGGCTCAGTCGGGTAGATAAATTCAACCATAAATCAAACAACAAGAATCTCTATTAACTTTACAAAGGATAAATATAATTTATTTAAATGGGGGATTACAAATGAAGGGATTCGAAAATGGGAAAACTTAAAACTAACTTAAAAACTACTCACGTGATTTGACGACATGGTGCACACTATATATTTAGCGAATTGCGATTGTTTCTGAGTCCAAAACTAAAGTTCAGGCGAGACAAAAGGTTCTGGGGAATCCGATCCAAATCTTGAATGAAACAGGAAATGATGTAAAGAAAGTCCAATATACAGAAATTAGCACGGTGGAGGCAGCTCCGGTATCAAAAATAAAAGAGAGAGCAGCTTAGCTTAGTCGGCTAATCTGGTGGTAGCCACTGTGTGTGCGCTGAACCGTGGAGATCTCTAGGTCCCCGGTTCAATTCCCATCGCTGCCTCTCCTTGTGTTTCAGCTAGAGGGCTGAAATACAAGTTACAATAGCGAACCGTCTTTCGAATGAGACGTTTAAGCCGTTGGTCCCGTGTGCATCTATGGCCCATGTGCACGTTAAAGAACGCAGTACACTCTTCGGAAAACAGTAGGGGGTTGTCTCGCGGTGTACTGTCCAATCACCACCAGAAGGACCCCACTGGATATAAGTCTTCTTATAGACTTTCGTGGGCTATCCTTGGTGGTTACAGAACTGGTACCGTAGAGTACAAATGGTTGAAACTTCTGACGGTGACCTATCAGGTCCCGTTGGTTTCTCTTTTGTACTCTTTAGTGTATTTCTTTTGTAGTAAACTCGTTTCTCCCCTTTAGCTTTTAAAGGACGAACAATGAATATACTTGTCAGTTTTTAAATATGCTTATATTCTCCTGAAGAGTATTCAGGATGAAGGCATCAATGAATTGATTGTCCGAAGGGTGTCCGGATAATAACTGTCCATTAGTCCTGGTCACTTCTACATAAGCTTAAAGAAAGGGGAATCATCCTAATCCTAATAAGGAATGGTATGTTACATCAAGGGGAACCTTTACACCTTACCATTACCAAATAAGGCAAATAATTAGCAATTCATTTCATTATAAATTATTAATGATAAGAAATCTTCCTGTTTTTTTTTTGTTTTTTTTTTTTTTTTTGTATTTCTGCTGTTTACTTATACTGTTTGATTTTTTTTTCTTGCGTGTAGTATTGATCTTTCTTTTATAATTGAATTTTTACTTTGCCACAAATAGGCCAATTAATTTTTTTTTTAAATTAATGCTTTTGAGAATGTTACACAAATTCGTAAATCGCACAGAAATTCGATCGTTCGAAACGAGAATTTTTCTACAGCTAATAAGTACATAGTACTCTTAGCCCTCAAACATTACAACAAACTTAATATACAGTTCGGTCTTTGGAACCTAAACATGTGGGGTGATCTTGGGGCTCACGCTCTAATTAAAGCGTTAGTTTAGTTTTTTTTTCTTTTAATAAAGATACAAATCCAACATAGGCTTATTATTATCAACATCCCGCTGAATACACTTAGCCTGGACTAGTCATTAGTACACCTTAACATGCTGATTTTATGTGTTTGAGTTTCGTACTTAAATTTAAACTATACGTAATTTATTAATTAAGATACAACTGCTAATTTTTAGGCATAAACCTATTATAAATTTTATATTCTAGTAGGCCTATCTAGTTTTCTTAATTCCTAAGAAACGTAATATTTATAGATTGTTTAACTTATATTTTATCTATTATTACTATTATTATTATTATTATTATTAATAAAAAACATTTATATAGCGCCTTTACAAAAAAAAAAACATCAAAGCGCTGTACATCAAAACCCATTATTACAAAGATAAAAATAAGTATAATATTTTAAATCGATCAATAAAAATTGCAAGTACAAATTACAACATTCAATAAAAATTCCGAAGATCGAAGTGCAGTACATTAAAACCCATTTTTACAAATATAAAAGTAGACCTAAGTACAATCAAAATCAGTTAATGGAAATAGCAAATACAAATTACAAGCCCGGAATTCAATAAAATTTCCTACAAAAAGCTAGTTAACAATAAAAACATAGCAACAATAAAACACAATAATAATGTGTAATAAAATTATGAATCAGTCAAGTATAGGTAAAAACCACTAAAAATCTACTCTCTAGAAAAAAGATGTGTTTTTTAAAAGATTGCACACTGGGGGCCTGGCGGATATAAGGGGAGATTATTCCATAATTTTGGACCAATCACAGAAAAAGCACTTTCGCCAAAAACTCTTTTTGTAAAGGAATCGACAAGGCGTAGTGGATCATCAGAGGACCTAAGACCTACACGACCAAGCTGAAACTTTTTAAGAATATCTTGAATATATGTTGGACCTATTTTATGAACATTATCTAATAAATATATATCATTAAATTTACAGCCTAGGACGGTATACTTACTTTACTTCTATAACTTTACAAGACTGACATTCTGATATAATTATATTTGATAAGTCGTCAAACTCTGTAGTCTAAGTCTTATTAAAACAGAGACGAGGTGTCTAAAAATCAAAATTAATTAGAATGAAGAATTTAAAATACCGTACTATCAACTTTGTCATTTTTTCTCTTAATTACGATGATAAGTTATTTTGCCATATTGTCGTTTATTGTCATCATTTACTCCATCTTCAAGCTGACATCCAGCATCATCGATATGAAATCCCTGGCACTCTGTCTGTCGCCGACATCGCATCGCGCATCTCATGTACGAAGCATCCATAGGCCTAGTTACTCCACGATTCTCCACAGATTGGAAATAAATCGGAAGGTCTATAAAGGAATAATAAAGTTTACGGCTTTACACACGCACACATGTACGTTCCCACGCATAGTATACCGTACTACATTTTGCAACTCAATTACAAAATAGTTTGGAGGTTCAAAATGTAAGAATGTTTAATATTGATTTAATTTATATATACCTATACATACATACATAAATATATATATTCTGTAAAAAATGATAATCCAATTTAGCTTTTATGAAGCGTAGGGATATCTTCTCATACTTCCTAAGCAAACAAATTGGCAGGTCTTCCGAACTAAAATCCTTAATGATGGAACCAAACTAAGGATTTAATTGTAAACATGTTTCGGGTGTTCTCTCACCCATCATCAGTACAAACGGTACTGATGATGGGTGAGAGAGAACACCCGAAACATGTCTCTCACCCATCATCCGTACTGTTTGTACTGATGATGGGTGAGATTATAATCGCATCAAGAAAAATACCAGATGTGTATAAGAGACAGATTATATGATGCGATACCTAACCGTTTGCGGCACCAGCAGGCTCGGCTGCATGTTAATTTTCTTGTTGGAAACACTACCTACTTTGAAAACTTATTTTTTAATCTGAAAGTGCAATTCCAAGAATTTAGAGGTATCTGTGTTAAAAATCTGCTCACCTCCTCAAACCAACCACAGGTGAGTGGAAATTTCTAATGGCATGAAGAACCTGGAGTGCAATTTTTTTTCCCAAAATTCTAAAATAAAATGGGAAAGAAAACTATATTCAAATTGAAGTCTGAGAGTACCATTTCCGACCATCTAAAGGCATGCCATAGCCATACATTTTTCTTACCTCAGCCCCAACAATTTTTTCCCTGTCTCTGGAAGTTCTTTCCCTGCCCCTTCTATTTCGAATCCACCGCTATAAAATAAGATAGGTGGGGCTGACAAAGAAAAAAAATGGAAGTACACAATTTATGTAGGACCGGCCCGCCGCTGTTGGGTGTCTACAAAACGAAGACCGAAGACCCAAAAGCGAAGACCCCTATTTTTTTCTTTTATTTTGATGGTAATACGCCAGGCTGTCACAAAATCAAAATTACGATTTTTTTTTGGGCCGCTGTTTGTGAAATTTTCAAGGGTCTTCGTTTTATAGACACCCTATATGGTGTCTACAAAAACGAATACCTAAGATCCAAAAAACGAAGACCTCCAATTATTTCAAAATTTGGCATAATTTTGCATAATTTCCCATTATTCTCCTATAATCCTCATTTAGTGTTCATTTGTGGAGGATTTAAAGCAGCTTTAGTGGCACTGTCTGCAAGTAGCGCTAACACCTGTGTGAAACTCATATGCGTTATACCTGCAATTTTAAGTCGATATACTTAAACAAGATACACATCTCAAAGGTTGCAAGCCATTTGCGTCATTCCCTCCCCAAAGTAACTCTTCCCACAGTCACCCCCACCCCGTTGAAAATTTCCGATGTAAAAAATAATCAGGCTCAAATACTCAAAAATTGTAAGTAACCCTAACACCTTCGTGGAATTTATATGCTTTTTAGCATTTGTAAATCGATAACAACAAGATAGGCCTATAGGCTAATGATGATGATTTACAATGCATAAACGAGAGGAAGTGGTTATTATTCTTTTTATCGAGACTAATCGCGACGTTCACATACTACAGGGTAAGGAAAAATGATATGAAACTCCTATCAAAACCTGTACCTGAACTACCAATGAATTTCTGATGCTGCCTCATCCTATTTTAGTGGTTTCTGAATATTTTTATGTAATGAAAAATGATATGAAATTGCTATAAAAACCTATACCTGAATTGTAAATCGATATTAACAAGATATAGGCCTAATGATGATGATTTATCAAATGCATACGCGAGAAGAGTGGTAATTGTTCTTTTTATGGAAACTAATCGCGACCTTCACATACTAAAGGGTAAGGAAAAATGATATGGATCTCCTATCAAAACCTGTACCTGAACATTACGTAAAGAAAATGACTGAGCGAGATAGCATGCATCATGCATTCTGTAATCTTCTTTTGGTGGTCCATTAATCCAATCTACTCGCGATGTTCACATACTAGAATAAAAGGTAAGCGAGCGCACCCTCTACTCTCTCTCTCTCTCTCTCCCTCTCTCTCTCTCTCTCTCTCTCTAT